GGTTATTGGCTGTTAGCCATGGCGGAAGAAGACATCCCCAACACTGCTTTTGCCACTTCGTTTGGTTTTTATGAATTTTTATCCACCCCTTTGGCCTAACGAACGCGGGCGCAACCTGTCAAAGAGCAGTAGAGGGCCCTGGGTGATTATAACAATCGCATATGTCAAGCCTATGTCGATGACGTTGTTGTATTTTCGGAAACATTTGAGGAACATGTCAAGAGGTTGGGTAAGGTTTTGAGGTGGTTGAAGGAGAATGCAAGTTCTTCCGAAACCGTGTTAAGTATTTTTGCCATGTGATATCGGAGCATGGGTAGAAACGGATCCTGATAAGACCCCGGCATTGCGTGATTGGCCCATTCCTACTAATATCCGCAAGACCCGCACCTTCTTGGGAATCGCGGGCTACTATAGACGTTTTGTGCCAAACTATTCAGCTATTGCCCGGCCTTTGTACAAACTAACGGCTGGTCAACCTTGTAAAAATTCTAAATTAAATTTCATTGGACTTGACGAAGCTCAAGAAGCTTTCGACACACTCGTGTGTCACCTGTGTAACCCGCCTGTGTTGGCATATGCCGATTATTCAAAGCCCTTTGAATTGCACACAGACGCTAGTGCTCAAGGCTTTGGCGACGCATTATACCAACTACAGGATGATGATGAGAATAATAGACTTAGACCTGTCGCATATGCTAGTCGCAGTTTGTCTCCCAGAGAGCACAACTACCCTGCCATAAACTGGAGCTTTTGGTGCTTAAGTGGGCGATGACTGAGGAATTTCACGATTACTGTTATGGGAATACTACCGTTGTGTTAACCGACAACAACCCATTGACTTATGTAACAACTACCGCTAAACTCTATGCTACTGGTCACAGGTGGTGGGCAGCACTGTCAAACTACAACATGTCTATTTGTTACCGGCTTGGATGCAACAAAGCAGACGCTGATGCGCTGTCCAGACATACCAAATGAGCAGGATGACTGCTTTGACGCTACCGTAGAACTCGGTTCCGCCGAGATCCGTGCAATTGGGCAGGGTCACCTTGTGTTTGACGAGACACCTTGGGTGGAGGCCTTCGCACACACGATTACAGCTATACCTAATGAGTTCCTATCTTTGCCAGAGTACCCTGGTGAGTCATCTCTCATCTCAGTGTCTCCTCGAGATTGGGCTGAATTGCAGATACACGATCCTGTTATATCGCGACTAATCCATTGAAGGTGAATCGGAACACGTCCTGATCGTCACCAGAAAGGAAAAGAGATGCCGCTGGTATAATCAACTTTACGCGAGATGGGTAAACTATGTTTTAGGGACAACGTTTTATACCGAACTAGATATGATAGTTTGGATAAGTAATTTTTGAAGTTGGCTTTGCCCTCTAGTCATCGTAAGATCGCTATGGCTGGAGCGTATGACCAAATGGGGCACTTTGAATGTGATCGTACTCTTGAAGCGTTGTGATCTCGGTTCTACTGGCCGCATATGAAAAGCGATGTGCTGAATTATGTGCGAACTTGTAAACGTTGCACTCGAAGGAAAGACCCGGCAGGCTTTGAGACCCGAGCTGATATGATACTTATTACGATCACACAATCATTAGAACTGGTTGCTATGGACTTTTTGTCGTTGGAGGAGTCGAAAGGGGGCATTGCTAACATATTATTGCTCACCAATCACTTCACAAAATTTGCTATGGCGATTCAGACTCGAAATCAGACCGCTAAAACTACCGCCAAACATTTGTACGAGGGATTCATAGATCACTATGGGGTTCTCCGAGCGCCTACATTCAGACCAGGGTCGTAACTTTGAATCAAAAGTGGTGTGCGAACTCTGCCAATTGTTGGGCATTGAGAAGTCCCATACTACGCCCTACCATCCTATCTGGAACGGGCAGTGCGAGAGGATGAATCGTACATTGTTGAACATGTTGGGTACTCTAAAAAATGACAAGAAGGCCAATTGGAAAGCGTACATTCCCGCATTGGTCCATGCATACAATTATACACGCCACGATGCTACAGGTTTTTCACCATACAGGTTTATGTTTGGAAGGGAAGCTTGTACTGCATTGGATGTGCGACTAAACGTTTATCCCACTGATCAGAGACCAATTATGTCTACCTCCAAGTACATACTTGATTTGGAACAACGAATAGAAAAGGCTAGGCAGATTGCTATTCTGGCTAATAGAAAGTCACAAGCCAGTAATAAACGTTGTTATGATCGCTCTAAGATTATACCGAATGAAACCCTGCACACAGACGATCTAGTGTTGATAAAAAATGTTAATCTTCGGGGCAAGAATAAGATTGGTGGGAAGATGCACCCCATCCCGTGGTAAACAAACTTGAAGGTCTCCCTGTTTATGTCGTTAGACCTGATAAGGGCGGGAGGACTCGCACCGTTCATCGAAATTTGCTTAAGCCCTGTGAAGATATGTCCACCTGCAGTGGTTATGATAGTGATGATATTGACTATTACGTATGCAGGAATGTGGCTGACGGGTTGAGGACTGTAAACCCATGGATGGCAATAAACAAAGCCGTCGAGGGATCGCAGCAGTAAGTGCTTATGACAATGAGCTTGCACTGTTCTCTACTGAGGCAAGCTAAGGTACGATAAAGCCCCAGATTCGTTTAGTCATGAGACTTTCCTGCAAGGTATTTCAGACACACCATGTACCATGTGCCATGTACGATGCATCAGACGAGGATGAATCAGCCATTAGTACTATGGCACAGTCGGATAATAATCCAACAAGGATGACTTGCATGTCATCTGATGTTTAGTTACCATGACTATCGAAGCGTATATGTCACGCACCTACCACTTGGAAGTTTACTCCATGTGAGTCGACTAACGTCTCTGACGCGCATAAAGTGTACATTGACGACTATTGATGTTGCAGCATCTGGTGTGAACCCAATACATAGATCTAGGAGGGTACGCCATCCACCAAATAGATGGGGATGTTCCTCCTGCTTTGAGGTAACCGGAGCAAAGGGAGTTAGGTGAGGTTAGTGAGTGTGCATTGCAGCACATTCACTTAAGCTTACTAAGGCGGCATTGCATCATGGTACCTGTGTCGACCTGCCACGGCCCACGTCGTGCGGTCTTGACGTTTTCTCCGCGTTTAGATACCGTCACCCAGTGTGTATTAGTTAGAGAGGGTCGGTTTGATCAGCCGTCGCCTTGTTTGAGATTGCAGCTTGGTGTGCATTGTCGTCATGGTTCGCATCTACGGTTTGCAGTATTACCATCGCTTTGGTAGTGTATACTTGCAACATGAAGTGGTTGATCTGCTTTACTGTCATGAACTAGTTTTCACCTTGTCTGTTGACTGTTGGTCTTGGATGCCCGTGGTGAGGCGTGCCTATATATTCAAACGCCAGATGCGATATGGAAATGAATTACATTGTAGGCTTACATTCCAGGGCAGCAGTGGATGAGCTATTCGATAAGTGTTTTGAGACGTCTTTTCGTGAACAGCTTGGTTTCGACAGATGAGCGGAGCATGTGTTCTTAGTCAGTAGTGGTTTGTGTAATCGTTTTTGGATTTGAAGCAACACATCTGAAACCTATGTATAGGTTATATACCCTGCACGGGCATGGTTTTCTTAGCAATCTGGAAGGCTATGTGGTGCATGGCGATGTTGTTTGCGGAGCCACCAATAGGTGGGTTGTCCGTGGGCATACCAGGGGTGGGACTCACGTGATTGACAGATCCCTAGGGAGACATCAGCACTGTATTCCCGATATCCTCTAGTTCTGGTTAAGGCCAACAGGTTCTTGTGAGGAGTTTGAAGGAGTGCGCGTATTGTCTAGTGTGAATCAATTAGGTGAACACGTCTCTATCTTCTGAAACATTTCTAAAGAAAACATTTATAAGGACATTATATCTAAAGGTTCTATTGATGGTCGAATGACGCCCGCGTTTTCGCCAATGCTGTGCTTTTCGAGTTTGTTGACCTTGTTTCTGCATTACCCTGCTACGTTTGGATCTGCCTGGGTATGCCCCAGTTCTTCTGTGCAGTGTGGTACCCTTGGACAGACCGGGAGCGTG